TAAATAACAAGCAAGGCTTAGTGTAGTGCAAGCTCATAATCCCCACACTTTAGTAGGCTGAGTCAGGAAGGGAATACATTTAGTAAAGCAAACACATTTTGAATATTTATGCTACATACTAGGGATTTTGCATGTATCATTTCATGCTATTCTTTTAGTGACCTACTGTAGTTTATTCTGTTATTACACTCACTTTTTCCCCCATTAAGTTTATTGGTACATATAAAGCAAACAATACAGTTACATTTATCACTGGGATCTTGTACCTTTACATGATATGTCTTGGTTTTTGTTTTTTCCCCATACCCCTGCCCTCTCTTCACCCCTCCATCTTTCCCCATTACACTCACTTTTATACAGTCTGTGAGACCCGTACCATGTTGCTTGGTGCTGCGTTTATGGTCAGTACACACACACACACACACACACACACACACACACACACACACACACACACCGTGTCTTAAGATGTGGCTTCTGCCCTCTTGGAGTTAATGATTTAGATGGGAAGCAAGATTCTCTAGTGGACTGAGGCCCAGGCTGGCTTTGAGGAGGAAGAGAGTCGTAGTGAAATGGCTCAATTTAATTGTGTTGGAGGTTTACAGAAAGACACAGGGCCTGACAGTGGTAGATCCTTATAAGAAGGTTCCCTTCTGAGAGGAACAGCTATACACATCAGTGCAGAATAAACAGGCTTGGCCATCTTTGTAAGAAAAGGACTGAAGGCAAGAACCTAAGATCTGCTACTTTAATCTCTATCAGAAATGTTCAAATTGGTTGAGAAAATTGATGTGTGACATTAGGTGTGTTGAGAATCCACTCTTCAAACATCTTCTTATTTGGAATAGTGTAGTTCATGAAGACTTACTCTTAAGATTTTCTATATGTGGAACCTCTGTCATTTTGTGAAGCCCTACTCAAGTGCTACCTCTCACCCCAGCATGCAGTAAGAATCTCTCTTCTCTCTTATGCTAATATTTTCTGCTTACCTTTGTCCTAATGATTATTATCCTATTTTGCAATTATTCATTTCTTTTTCTATCTCACCTACAGTGAACAAGTTGGCATTGAGACAATGCAGTGTGTTTTACAACATTTTCATCCAGTACATGGCCCACAACAGAATCTCAAAGCATACTGGCACTTGATTTTAGCCAAAAGGCCGAGAAACGATCTCAAAGCATATTTATTGAGTCCAATTTTAAAATGGCCATTTAGTTTTGCTTAATTGTACTGTGAACCTAAAACTGCTTAAAAAAATAAATAAAACAGCCAAAAGCCTTTTAAAATGTGAGATCCGTTGGAACATCAGTTTGTTTAGAGCGTAAAGTACATGTGCAAAACTGTATTTTAGGTCCTAAACGGCTCACAGTGCCCTTAGATCATGGGCCCAGTAGTCCAGCTGATATCAGTCACCCCTTTTTGACATCTTTGTTTTTTATATTCAAAGGGGCGTGAGACTACCTCTGTCCTCTCCGTCTGTGGAATTTGCAGATGGTGCTGGCATATACTCAAATTGGTGCTTCTCTTCAATGATTCTTGTTCCTCTGTAAGCAACCACTGTCAGTCAGGCTTGAGACTGGCAGAGGGCTCAGAGCGTGGGGAGAGAGGCCCAGAATCTGATGTTCATGCAGGGGAAGAAAAATTTCCCCTGGGGCACATGGAGAAGGCATTGGATCCTCTTTGAATTGCCTGTGCTGAGATGGTTGTGGTGCCACAAGTTCCTTCCGACCCTGTGGAAAAGACTGTGGGTTCGGGCCTCTTGGCCTTGCTCATTTTCCATCTCTAGGGTAAAAACATCTCTTGCTTTCGTCCTTGGAACATTTCTCTAAGCTTCTTTGTGAGGCGTTTCTGGTGGTGAATTGATTTGGAAAATCCTTTGTTGATAGTCCAGCTTCAAAAGTGCTCAGGCCTGCTGTTTATCTTCTTTCCCCTTCTGCCAGGGAGAGAGGAAGTATAAAAATTCCCTTTTTATTGACCTATAAACTCATTAAGCCCTTTCCACGTGTTTCTACTCTGTTAAACGGAAGGTAATGGTAAATCAAACCAATCTGTCTGTAAAGAGTGAATTTTACACTAATGTTTATAGCTTTCTTTTGTTCTAGATGTTTATTTAATTTTATTGCAGCAGTCAATGAGCACTTAATATGTGCTAAATGTAGATAAAGTGAGACCCACACCTTTGAGGAACCTCATGAGGTCCTAGAAGAGAGAAATACTCAAACTTCTGTAGTTTTGAGGTTCTCCTGGGGTGCCAAATATTTCCATCTTTACCATGGAGGTCATATTTTTCTCAAGAGCACTCTGAGGGGGTAAATTCTCTACATATTCCCAGCTCTCATGTATTTCATGCATTTAGCAGGCATTAAGTCAACACTTATTGAATGGATAAATAGGTTAGTGAATTAAATTACCATTCTCACATTCTTTCATGTTTTTTCCTAATATGATAAGGATGACATGTTTTCACGACCCGCCCCCCCCACCAAAAGGTTGTTCAATTTAATATTAGTTGGGGTTTTAAAGAAAACATGTAGTGGTACGTGAATTCTGCTTAGCAAAGCAGCAAAGGGTGGCATTTACCTTGGGGGAATTTTCTATGGCTCCAGGGTTGGATTTTGAGGATTCAGATATTCAATGCTCAGCCAGTAACACACAGAAGAAACACGCAAAGGGTGACATGGAAGCAAAGAGAAGAAGATAGATTCCAAAAATGGCACCATTGCTCAACTCACCAATTGATACCTTTATCACTGTGATCCTATGGTTCTATGGAGGGCTGGAGCCTGTTTCCCCTCCCCTTGCATTTGGTTGATCTTGTGATTTGGTTTGGCAAAATGAATGAGGCGACAGCGGTGTTGTTCCAGTTCAAACCCAGTGGGTACACTTCTATTTCCTTAGATCGTTGCTGTCATATTGACAAGTTCTGACCAGCTTACTTTACTGGATGATGAGTCACCCTTGCCACCACAGCCAGCAGCCAGGAAGTTTCTAGAAACCAGTGAGCATTAGCGACATGCGTGAACCCCATGGCCCTCAGCTGATCTACCAGCAGATTGTAGACCACAGGAACAAGCCAAGCCATGTCTGGCCTAGATCAGCAGAACCATCCAGCTGACCTGTAGAATTGTATGCAATAATCAGTGCAGCTTGTTTTAGGCCACTGACTTTTGGAATAGTTGGTGTGTAAAGATAACCAACTTATGCAGCAGAATTCCCAGTTATTCATCAATGTGTGAGAAGAGGCTCAGCTGCCTGTCAAGTCGCTCATGTTTACTGGCTGGACCAGAGGGTTCTGTCCCCTTACTAGTTCAGACAGGCCCCAGGACAAGGATCGCCTTGTGTATCAGGGCTTAGGACAAAGGGAGGTCCTTGGTGGAAAGATTGCAGTGCTCTGAGGCTTTCAGCTTGGATGTACCCCATTAGTGATGTCAAAAGTTCAGCTGTACACAACTGCATAATTTCAGATCCTTACATCTCATGGAGTTTCAGTTAGAGTAAAGTACATAGAAACAACCACCTAGAGTGTGTTAGGTCTAGAGCCATGGCCAGGGATAGGCAGATACTGGAGACAATGCCCTTTGTTTAAAAGAAAATTTCTGCTGACTATATCATCTTCTGATTTTCACTTTTTCCTCCAGAATGTAATGTCACCAATGAAGTAAAGTCAAATCTTGTTCTCATCCAGGAGCTAGTCAGCGTGGCTGGAACTACACATTTGGTGTGTGGTTTACCTCCCAGAAGGAACTTCCTTTTCCTCATCATTATACTCTTTCCAGTCTTGGCAGTGGTGCCTGAGGTGCTTTGTCATTGCTTTTGTTACTGCTGGGCTGGAAACTCCTACACATCACTTTATGCCAAGTGAAGTACATAAGAGAGTAGTGAGTATTTGGAAACTTTTATATCAGTTGCATAGTGCTGTAACATCAAAGAGCTTGACTTGTTGCATTATAAGGAGTATAGAAAAGGAGTTGTTGAATTTGTGCACCTGTGGCAAACTGTATCTTGGTCAAGTTCAAGGGTTATAGGACTATGAACCAACCCATAAAAGACTGTAAACAAGCCACACACACACACACACACACACACACACACACACACACACCCCTCAGTACAGAACAAGACTTTGCTACTGGGTCTGTAAGAAAGAACTGTATTGGAAAACTGCTCAGCTTTGAAGTCTTAGCTTAACTTCCATAAAGGCCCGAAAGATGTCCCTTATGCTTTGTGCACATACTCCATATCTTTATTAATGAAATAATTTTATTATTTGTAATTGACTTTTCCCCCATACCTGATTTAGATATGTATTTTTTTATTTTTATCTGTGTATACTATGAAATAATAAAATTTATTTTAATATATCAGTAAATGCACACAACATACTTCGATTATTTTCCCCATGACCCACTCTTTCTCATTTCTCTTTTTCGAATCACCTTTCTCATCTCTAAAAATTGACCTTCTAGTTTCTCGTCATCTCTCTTAATCAAATAACTAATTGATAATATTTGAAAAACCGTTTTAGATTGCTTAGAGAAGAGAAAACATGATATTTAATTTAATATGATGCTATCCATTCTCATCCATTTTCTTGCAGAAGATGTGATTCCATTCTTCTTCACAACTACATAATACTCCATTGAACATATATACCGGATATTCTTCACCCATTCATTTGTTGATGGGTGGTAGGCTGTTTTCACAGCTTAGCTATTATTAACTGCACTGCTCCGAATGAGTATGTATGTGTAATGAGAGTATGCTATCCTTAATTCTTTTTTATTTTATTTTTTAAAGAAAATAGAGAATTTATGGGTCGGGGATTTAGCTGAGCAGTTCGGTGGCCTGCCTTGCAAGTGCAAGGACCCAAGTTTGATCCCCGGTACCCCCCCAAAAAAAAATCACTGGGAGAATTTATAATTTATTAGACATAGAAAAGAAAAATAAAATCATTTAAAAAGAGACCTAGAGAGCTCCCTTGATCCCTCTGGGCACCTCTATACTGCCCACAACAGCTTCAGTAAGAGGATTATTTCATATACACAATGGCTAGCAAAGATTAAAAAGACACAAATCTTCCAAATATGACAGATGCTCAGCTTAAAGAGGTTGCTAACTGAGTCAGGCACTACTGGCCCTAGAGAAGTCCACTTGTGTGGCCACAGCACCAGCTCAGTCCCCAGCCTTATGGGCCAGAGGCTGCTTTCAGGGACACCAAGCACGTGACGAGGCTGACAGCTATGACCACTGCACATCAGCATCTGCGCTCTCCAGTGTTGCTTCTGCTCCTCTATCACCCGAGCAAACCGATCCATGGCTTCTCTTAGTCGGTGGGGATTTTCTGCAAAAATGAGGTGAAACCAGTCAGGTTCCTCGAACATGCAAGATTTGCCATGGGCTAATATCAGCCTGTGGTCCAGGAAGCGGCGGTGGAGGACCAGTTCTTGTGCAAATGTACATGGTTCCAGTAGCTTCTTCAAGGTTATCCAGATATAAAGGCCACAGCTGCGACTGGGAAAGCGGATCTTGAACTGAAACTCCTCCAACTCGAGCAGCCTCTCGGTGACATACTCATACGCGTCATGGAGCCGAGAGTAGCTGGTGGGCAGGTACACTCTGTTGATACAGTCTCTGTCCCCAAGCAGGGATGCAGTTTGTACTGGGTGATGCCAGAGACACTGTGGAGGTAGCCAAAGGTGCTCATGGCAGAGACCACATCATCGCTGTGGGTACATAGAACGCCAAAGTGGAAGCCAGTGATGCCAAAATCACTTACTGCCCCGATCACATGGGTTCTGTTGGCATTACACAAACTTTCTAAGCTCAGAACACTGTGAAATACAATGGTTTCGTCGAACCTGGACAGCATGTACATTTCATCAATGATCACATGTAGTTCATTTCTTTTGGCAAATTTCAGGTATTCTTTCAATGATTCCTTCATGTTAACGTCACCCACAGGATTCTGAGGGTTTGCCAGCAAGAGGCCTTTGACCTTTTTACTCTTTTTCTTAGCTTCAAGCAGGACTTGCTCTAGTTTGCCCACAGTGGGCTGGCTAGGCTGGGTGTGTTTATTAGTGATCTCACTGTCCACGTGGACGGAAATCAGCTCAACTTGTGCAAACATCTGGGCTCTAAAGAGGAAGCCACTGTGGAAGGGAGTGGAGACCAGAATGGCATCCCCTGGGTCACACAGAACCACAGCCAGTACAGAGAGGACGGTAGAGCAGCTCTTCAGAAAAACCACACTTCTCAGATCGAGGAGGCTATGTGCTCTGCAGTAGTAGGACAGGAACTTTGCCACTTCTGCTCTCAGGAACGGATGTCCTCTCCAGTCCGGGTACTGCAGCAAGGGTGCCTCGATGTAGTTCATGTCATTCTGACACAACCAGATTAACACACAGTCTGTTCTCACTGATACCGAGGTTAAGGAAGCCCAAGGAGTTCAGGACGTTGTGGTATTTGTCTCCTTAATAGGCTAGGCCTTGTAGCCAGGAAGCTTGAGTGGTAAAATGTAGAGATCTTAACCCCATGGTTGGACAGGATATGGCTAAGAAACATAACTTCAGAATCACTGTGCTGGGCACCTGGCTGGTTATGCTGCATAACCGATGGGCCTGACTCATACTCCGGGTATCTGTACCGGCCTCAGAAGGCTTGCTGGAACCTCCACTGGACTACCCGAGCACACCCGGATGCTATCCATCCTCAGCTCTTCAGCCTAGAAGGCTTATACGTGCTGAGACTCTCCTTAGTCTTCGTGGCTCAGAGGCCAGCTCTTCCTCCTCTCACTAACCTTGCATCTTGTCTATCCTTAATTCTTTCAGGCATGGACACCAAGGAGTGGTATAGTTGGATCAAATGCTATATCTATTTTTAGTTTTTTGATGAATCTCCATAGTGATTTTCAGAGTGATTATCCTAGTTGAAGGGTTCTTTCTTATCTTTGCCTGAAATTATTGTTTCTGAATTCTTGATAATAACCATTCTAAATAGGATGAGATAAAATCTCAATTTAGTTTTGATTTGCATTCCCATAGTAGCTAAAGATGTTGAATATTTTTTTTCACATGGTTTTTCATCCATGTTCTCCTTTTGCACTCTGTTGAATTCATTTGCTCATTTATTGTTAGGGCTATTTGTTTTATGGTGTTTTTAAAGTTCTTTATGTATTCTAAATATTAGTTCACTATCAGAAGATTGGCTAGCAAAGATTCTCTCCCATTCTATAGATTTCCTCTTTATTCTGTTGATTATTGTCTTTGCTGTGCAGGAGCATTTTACTTTTTAAAAATTTTTTATCTAAATTGAATTTATTGGTACATTCTAGGTAGACAGTACAGTTACATTCATTATTGGGATCCTGTACCTTTACATGCCAGGTCTTGGTTCTCATTTTTTCCCCTTGTCCCCACCCTCCCTTCACCCCCTCCTAGGAGCATTTTACTTTGATGTATTCCCAGTTTGATTCTTGCTATTGCTTCCTATGCTGTTGGGGTCCTATTTAGAAAATCTTTGCCTGTACCTATGGCTTCAAGAGTTTCCTCTATTTTTTCTTCCAGCAGTTTCAAAGTTTGTTGTCATATATGTAGATCTTTGATTCATTTTTATTTGATTATACTACAGAGCGAGAGATGAGGATCTAGTATTAATCTGTATATGGATATACAATTTTTCCAGCACTATTTGTTAAAGAGGCTGTCTTTTCTCCAGTGTATGCTTTTGCCAAAAAAAAAGATCACTTTAGGTACTTGGGTTGTTTCTATGCCTTCTGTGCTATTCTATTGGTACGTCTGTTTTTGTGCCATATTGTTTTTGTTACTGTAGCTTTGTATCATAAGTTGAAATCTGGTATTACGAAGCCTCCAGAATCACTCTGTTTGCTTAGGGTTACTTTGGCTATTCTGAGTCTTTTTGCTTCCATATGAATTTTAAGATTACTTTTTCTAGTTTTGTGAAGAATGTTGTATTTCAGCTCTCTTTCTTTCCTTCTTTTCTTTTCTTTTTTGGTACTGAGAATCAAACTCGAGCCTTTTCACTTGTGAGACAGGCTGTGGAAACACTGAGCCAAATCCCCAGCCCTATTGTTGGCACTTTAGGACAGATTGCATTGATTCCTGTTTTCCTGATTCCTGATTCTGGATTCTTGTTGATTCCTGATCGTAGATTCCTGTTAATATGTAAATTTTAGCATGATTAGTCTTGCTGATCCCTGAACAATGGAGGTACTTCCATTTTCTAATGTCTTCTTCAATTTCTTATTTCAGTATCCTATAATTTTCATTATAGATGTCTTTAACCTCTTTGGTTATTTTGATTCCTAGGTATTCATTTTCTTAGCTATTGTGAATGGAGTTGCCTTTCAGGTTTCTTTCTTGGTTATAGGAAGCTATTGATTTTTTGTGTGCTGATTTTGTGTCCTGCCATTTTACCGAATTTGTTTGCTAGAGCTAAAAGCCTTCTAGTGAAGCTTTTAAGGCATTTTTATATAAAGGATAATATCATCTACAAATACAGATAATTTGACTTCTTTATTTCCTATTTGTATCCCTGACTAAAGTTTCAAGTATTATATTAAATAGGAGCGGTGAGAGTGGAGATCCTTGTCTTATTGCTGATTTTAGAGAAAACACATTCAGCTTTTTCTCATTCAGTATGATGTTGGCTGTGGGTTTGTCATGTATAGCTTTTAATCAATTTGAGGAAGGACCATTTTACACTCATTTTCTTCAGGCTTTTTATCATGAAGCAATGCTGAATTTTGTCGAAAGATTTGTGGGCATCTATTGAGATGCTGCTGCAGCAGTTTTTTATACTACATTTTACTTATGTGGTGTCACATGTATTGATTTATATATGTTGAACCATCTTTGCCTCCTTAGGATGAAACCACTTGGTCATGCTGTGTGATCTTTTTAGTGCATTGTTGCATTTTGTTTGCAAGAATCTTCTGAGGAGTTTTGCATTTATGCTCATCAAGAATATTTTGTGTATTTTTTCTGTTTTTCTTAAGTCCTTATCCAATTTCATCATCAGGGTAACTCTGGCTTTGTAGAAAAGAAATTGGTAGCTTTCCTTAAAGTTTGAGAAGCATTGGTGCTAACTACTTTTTAAGGGTTTGATGAAATTCAGCAGTAAATCCTTTGGGTCCAAGGCTTTTCTTAGTTGGGAGGGTTTTTAACAGTTTTCATCTCATTGCTGGTTATGGATCTATTTAGATCTTTTTGTATCTCCTGGTTCAACTTTGATAGGTCATATGAGTCTAGGGACATCCATTTCTTTAAGATGTTCCAATTTATTAGAATATACATTTTCAAAATACAGTAGTTTCTAATAATCCTCTGGATTTTTGTGGTATCTGCTTTAATTTTGCCTTTTTTATCTCTAATTTTACAAATTTTGGCCTTCTCTTTCTTTTGGTAAGTTTGACTAAAGCTTTGTTATGGCTGTGTCTAGATGTCCCCCAAAGCTAATGCAATTGCGGGGGAGGGGGTTCAGAGGTGACTAGATCTAGAATATGTGATTGATTTATGGTGCAATGTTAGAATTAAGGGTGCTAAGATTAAGGGTGGGTGATTATTAAATCAGTTCCAATGATTGGTTTGGCACTGCCCTAATCCTGGCAGCCTGTATACAGTATAAGGGACAAAAAGAAGTTTGTTTTATCCCTTGCTCACTTTGTTACCTTCTGCACATCATGACCTATTTCTCCTCTGCAATGCTTGTCTGCCATGCCACCCTGCCTTGGAACCACTGAAACCTTTACATACTGAGTGAAATAAACCTTTCCTCCTTCAAGTTGTGGATATCAGGTATTTTATCTCAGCAATGAGAAAAGTAACTAAAACAAGGTTTGTCAATGTGATTTAGCTTTTCAAAGAACAAATTCTTTGATTTATTGATTCTTTATATTGTTCTTTTAGTCTTTATTTCATTAATTTCTGTTCTGATCTTTATTCTTTTATTCTACTGCATTTGGGTTTGGTTAATTCTTCTTCTACAACTCTAAGCTCATCATTAAGTTATTTTTGGGACCATTATGATTTTCTGATGTGGGCACTCAGAGCTTTAAACTTGGTTTTATAATTCCTTTCATTGTGCCCCATAGGTTCTGACATGTTGTGTTTCCTTTATCACTTGATTCTAGGAATTGTAAAATTTCTCTCTTGATATACTCAATCCACTGATTATTCAAAAATGTATTATTTAATGTTTATGTGTTTGTGTAAATGTTGATTTCTAGCTTCATTCCATTGTGATCAAATAGAAACAATTACTTTCAATTTTTTGTATTTGTTACAATTTGCTTTATGGTCTATTTGGGGAAAGTTCCATGTGATGCTGAAAAAGAAGTATGCTTTTCTGTTTTATAAAGCATTCTGAAGATGTCTGTTAAGTCCATTTGGGCTCTGATGTGTCTTTGTTGAGTTTTTGTCTAGTTGACCCATCTAATTGTGAGGTGGGGGTATTGAAGTCATGCACTATGATTTTTTTGGAGCCTATGTAACCCTTTATGTCAAGTTGTTTGTTTTATAAAATTGGATGTGCTCACATTTGGTGCATGTATTTTATAGTTGTTATCACTTTTTCATGAATTATTCATTTTAATGATGTATAGTGGCCTTTTTTGTCTCTTCTAATTTTAGTTTGAAATCTACTTTCTCAGATATAAATGTACTTGCTCCTCCTTGCTTTTAGGCTTCAGCTACATGGACTATCATTTTTCATCCTTTTATTTTTTAGTCTGTGTATATCTTTGCAGGTGAGGTGTTTCTTGTAGGTAATTTGCAGATTGGCCTTGGCTTTGATCCAATCTGCTAGTTGGTGTCAGAGAATTAAGGTCATTTACATTATGTTAGTATTAAAAGGAACATACTAATTCCTATCATTCTGTTGTTTTTCTAGGGTTTGATTCATTCCTTTTTTTATTCATTTATATATTCTCCCCAATGAATTTATTCTTTCCTTTGATCCTGTCATTGCGATTGTACCTTTTTTTCTATTTTTACAATTCCATTAAGTACTTTTTGCAATAGTGGTCATGAGTTTGTTTAGATTATCTATATCTTGGAAGGTTTTTATTTCTTCTTCAATTTTAAAGTATTGTAGGTTGAATATAGTACTCTAGATTGGCATTTAAGTTCTGTCAAGGTTTGAAATACTTGATTTATAGCTTTCATGGCTTTTAGAATTTCTTTTCAGAAATTTCTTATTATTCTTATGGGCTTGCCATTATAAATGAGTTGGTGTTTCTCTCTAACTGCTTCTAATATTTTTTCTTTCTTCTGAATTTCTGTCCACCGGATTATGATTTGTCCTATAGAAGTTCTTTTCTGTTCGAGTCTATTTCTAAATGCCTTCCATACTTGGCTATCCGTCTCATTCTCCAGATTTGGGAAATTTTCTGCAATAATTTCAGTTAATTAGTTTTCTATGCCATTAGTGTGAACTTCTTCACTCTCTCCAAAACCAGTGAGTCTCGGATTTGTGCTTTCAGAGTTGTCCAAGGACTCTGCGATTTAAAACAATATTTCTTATTCTTTACTTCTATATTACTGAGTATTCTAGTATACGCCCCTTGTCTTCAAGCCCTTGTCTCTGTTTCACCTTGCCTAATGCTAAGACTTTCAGTTGAGCTTTTATTTGACTAATTTTCCTTTTACAATTTTATTAACAGAATTTCTCTGTTCAGTTCTTTCTCAGAAACTTTATTTCTGTACTTAGGTGTTCTTTCATATTGTTTATTGTCTTCCTTAATCCATTCAGCTGTTTATTTGTATCTTGAGTTCCTTGATAATTTTAATAATTGATTAATTCAGTTGTTTGTTTGTATGTTCTTTGATCTAATTATCATCTTAATTATCTATTTTAAAATTCTTTGCTTGGTTTTTCATTTACTTTAGTATCTATACTAACAACTTTTGGAGGCATTTTGCTGTCTTGTTTTTCCATGATTCTTACATTTTTTGTGTTGAAGTTTGCAGATCAATTTGTGTGGAGATCTTTTTTAGTAAGTGTTTTTTTCTTTGGATGTGGGTGTATTTTAGCATAAAAGCACCCATTCAACCCATTCAAAGTACTAGTTTCAATTCTGGACTGTTTTGCTAAGAGAGAACAACTCTCAATAATATTAATCTCTAAAGAACCAAGCACATATCATCATATAATCTAAAAGTTGTTTAAAAGATCTTTACTATTTTATTAACCCAAGGAAAGAAAGCAATAGTAATAATGTAGGCAGGCTAGGAAAAAAATAGGTTTATGGAGAGGGGAACTTTGAGAGGGTAGGAAAGGGAAGAGAAGAAAGAGGAGAGGGGAAGCGGAATATAATTTGAAGGTGAATAAGGTATAGGGAGATCAAATCCAATTAATGATGTAGTAGAAAGGCAAAGTTAGACAATCTTATGAGACAACCCTTAGTGTGAGAGAACATGACAAAATATTGTTGTAAGACATTACAGAAGTTAAAGCAATAACTAACACTTACATATACTTGGATACAAACACACAGACACACACACCCAGGTCTGATATTTCTCCTCGTGGGGTTATATATATATTGGAGAGAAAATTATTTCTCCTGGACCTCTATTGTTGGACCATATCTGATAAAAGGGGGCATATAAGAATCTCTATTTCTCTTTTCTTTTCCTTTCTTTTCTGTTCAGTATTCTACTTCCTCACTTCTGTCCAAGTAGGAGAAGCTATTTAAGTCTGTGCAGAGGCTGAGATCTGCTCTTCTGTGGTTGTAAAATGGGTACTTGGGCAGGCCTGCCAGTGGCATGACTAGCTCACCCCTGTCAACTCAGTCTCCTCCTTACCTGAAAGGGAGACCGCTGGAAGAACCTGGGTTGTACTGTTAAATCTCCCAGTCTTGTGAGCGAGACCATGGGCATATCTGGACTGTGGGCTAAAGCTCTGTAAATTACTAGACCTTGTGCTTGGAGCATGGCTAACCACTGTCTTCATGCTGCCATGTTTGCCCTGAATGCCCTCAAGTAGAGCAGAAGGTTTTGGACACACAGGGTCTATATTAAGATTAGAAGCCATGAGTGCGCCGTCTTCCACTGGTTCCTGCAGTAGTCCTTCCAGATTTAGACTCCTTCCCACTGCAGAACTCAACACTGCTGAATTCTTATCCTGCCACAATGCAATGTTTGAATCACCATTGCTTCCTGCTCCCTACCCTTTTCCTTCTTGACATTTCCCTCCGCCTGGCCGGTTGTGCTCACTGGATTTCACACTATTCACTCTGCTGAGACATTCCCTGTCTGGAGTTCAGTCTCCTACAAGCCAGGTTCTGGGTTTCACCAAACCTGGTGATTTTAGTTTTCTGTATCACTTTTACTATTCTTCTGGAACCAAGCTAACTTATTGGGTGGGTGCCCACTGCCTTCATGGAGCAAAGTGGCTGTTGGATCCTGGAGATACAAAAAAAAAAAAAAAAAAAAAAAA